TCGTCTGATTTAAATGCACCAGGGGAACGTTGAATTTCCGACAGTTGCCAATTTTCTGGCTTTACTGTGTTTTCAATAGCTATAAAAAAGGGTGTTTATTAAAAAAAAGTAAAAATATTAACGACATTATAAGCTAATAGACGGCTCTATATAGGCAAGAAAAGGATATACGAAAGTCAAATACCAGTAGACGAGAGAATTCCGTATTTAACATTAATATCTGAACTCCATGCGATCCCCGTGTTATCCATTATAAGAGAGTTCGCATTCGAAGTCAAATAGAGGGAAAATGTGTCATTAAAAATACTATTTGCTATGGCACCACATGGTAAGATGGGAAAAGAGCCGGTAGCATTGGTGTAATTTGCATATGGAATACACGAATTCAAATCGGTAATTTGACGCTTCACGCCCAAAAGCTGATAATCGTCTTTAGAGCGCATGTAGCGCCTATGATTTTGGTAGAAATTTGATAGCTCATAATAAAGGTACACGGGGCCCTAAAATGTCATTTAAGGCAGAAACACCAACCTTTATTTGAGTTTGTACTTGAAATGAGGTGTTACATTTGCAGCCAGCCCCAAGAACTGTCAAATCAGAACAGTGTTTTGAGCTATTATCAGACGACACACAGTATGTGTAGTCAATGGATATCTCGGAAACACTTTGATTGGTAGCAAGAATTATCACTCCAATAGGGATAAATAGTATGGCGATCAAAGCAAAAATAGGAACGGATTTTTTTGAAGTTAATATAGGCTTCCAAGCGGGGAGATTTTGTTGAAAAAATGGGGAAGCTTGAGTAAATAGTAAATTAACTACATTTACCTTTAGGACGGCGTGAAAAATTCCTGGAAGAAAGCCCGTTGTCCATCATGAGGAAAAAAGTAAAGTCTGATAGAGGTTGTCGCAAATACTAGGGCTCATGAGGAAGGAGTCGTAATAATATAAAATAAGATGAAAATGGAAAAAGAACTAAGCGCCCCTGCGTCTAATAGGCAGATGGGAATTACTCATAGTTGATACTAATATTATTATTATCATCAATTTAACTAATATATTTTTTTACGTATTTATTTTTTATGAATCTAATCAATAAATTTTACAAATAAGTAAAACACTATTTTTAACAAACTTTGTTTCGTTTAAGAATAATGCTTAGGTAATATAACTTGAGCAAAATTGTAACTATATACCTAGGACTATTTTTGTGAGCGTTTAAATTGAATATTACTGTGTATAACGAATTTTTTTTACTCCCAAAGACTCTTTTTAATCTCACGGCGCATGCTATTTTACTACTCTATTTTTATGGAAATATCGAGAGCATTTAAATTATATTTGCGTAGTTCATAAAATTCCCTGTTTTTTGCATCCAGAAGTTTACCAAAATAATATTGAAAACAAATAAATGTTAGGCGTAAGCT